AGCGAACACAGGCCGCGAGACAGTTACGTGCGGGACGTGCGAGGGCAAAAGCAAATGGCTTCGCTCCCTTCCCGCGGGTGTGCGCACGTGTGAATCGCGCACCATGTTAGCCTGAGAAACGCAAACAAATAAGGATTGATTCATTGCGATTTCAAGCTGTAACTGAGCGATAAACTTGAAAAGGATAGTCTTAAATTAATGGTTGTTCTCAAGAAGGTCAGTGTTTGCATAAGAAGCGAAGGTTTTGTTCAGAAGAGAGGGAAAGCTACGCTTCTACAAGGTAGACATGAAATGAGTGAAAGCGGCGAGCCTAAAGTTCAGTCAACGATGATATAAATAGTTAATTTTGGCAACAAAATCTCAGTTCATTGACTTATTTGTATTTTATTTAAACTTACCCTTAGTTTGATTGTCCACCAGGCAGTTTCAAGGGCTTCTAAACCCACAAGAGCGAAAACGAATTTTTCGTCAGAATGATTCATGGCGTGTTCATGCCTCGAGGGACTGTTTGGACTGAATGTTCATAATTAACTTGAATATGTATTAGCATCAGGTAAATGAATATAATAAACCTAAATTTATTAATTTATTTTGTCACATTCCCTTACATGCTTTGGAAAGGTTTTTTTTAAAAAATAGCTTGAAATCGATTAATAAGAAAAAAAAATTATTTACAACCCCGACTGAGATGAGCGTTTAACATTATTACATTTGAAATGTTAACGTGACTGTGGGAATTTTCCAATGAAATTCTTCTTTTACATAAAGGATATGAATCACAAGAACATTGCCATATTGCAAAGACATATTGCAGCCACAGAAAACGTGTAGCAATATAGAAAAAAGGCTGGTTATATTATCTAATTCTTGTATATGTATTATTACTGTAGTTTTTCATTTACTCACTGAGAATTTGAAAAAAGACCACGCTCATGTCTTAAGCCAAGATATCGCTTGCACTGTGAGAACGCTGATGCTGAGTAAACGTTGGTGGATACGTCCGAACCTTTATGCACGTTTTCTGGCCCAGACCTCCTTCTTTTTGTGACACATTTTCGCGATGTTTTTTGTCCATTTCCTCAGGAATAATTTTATAAGTAACTGTCCCACTTTTTATGACTCCTCATATGGAGGGAACTTGATAAGCGCAAAATCGAAGGGCTAGGGAGGGTATGGTCAAATACAGGTGAAATACATAGTATGTCATGCAGCACATTAGAGCTGCGCTACCTTTCCCCCCTAGAAAAATATCAGCTTGACAAAAATAGCCCCCTAACTTTTTCTGAAGGATGATTTTGTCTGTTACGTTCACTGTTCTAAACATTCCAATTTTATTGCCTGTATGGTAATCACCATTTAAG